AGGTGATGCATTATGGCTTTTACTGGAATATGTGCACACACACACACACATGCACATATTTACAATGGATGTCAGGGGTTGATGATTTGAAGATAATTACAGTGTATTTATTTTCTCCCGCTCTTCCCTCTGTCTCCCTCGAACTCCCGCCCCTCCAGATTGTGAACCAAGCCTCTAGCACTGTAGTGCTGAAGGGTGTTTTGTGCTGTTATGCCCTCTGGCTTGGCTGCCAGCTTACTCCCACTGATCTGAGCCAGAAGGCAGACTGCCGAGGAATACCGATCACCTTGCCCAGACCGAATCCTTTGAGCTCTCTCTGGCATCTTTCCCCCTTCTGCCAGTTTCCTCCTCTGCTCCTCTCTTCCCCCTTCTGAAGTTGACAACAAAGACATCCTCAGGTCCTCCTTGATGTGAGACCCACTCTTGATCTTTTTTCCCTATGTTTTTGTACCTTAGTTGCACTACTTTCATATTCCGCTAGCACAATATTTACACACCAGAAGACAAAAACAGGGGTCTTTTCATGTAGGAACCCCTGCCAACATGTTAATAACCTGAAGACCTGCAATGGTCATGCTGGCCTGACAGAGGCAGGACATTAGTGAGAGACTTCTGCTCCTAATTGCCCCTCTTTGCCTTAAGTTATTTTGCAGTCTATCTATCTATCTATCTATCTATCTATCTATCTATCTATCTATCTATCTATCTATCTATCTATCTATCTATCTATCTATCTATCTATCTATCATCTCATCAGTACAAGAATCAGTGCACTGCCATTGGGCCATGATATCCAATAGAGTTACTCCTCCACATACATCCTCCTGCCTCATCTCTCCTTACCCCACCCCACCCCTCAAGCCCCCAACTCCCCACCACCAACCCCCTGCTTCCATGAAGAGAAATCTCTGAAGAGCTAATTAGTGGTGGAATGGAGTCCAGGAACAGCCAACGGAGCTGAAGAAGGGAGATTGGCGCTGGTGCTAGCTTTATCGGTCAGAGCCTGACAGAGGGGTGACAGTGAGTGGAGGCAAATCACCAGCTCACAACTGACAGAGACAATAAAGTGAACCTCTGAGCCAGAGAGAAAGAGAGTGACTGACAGGCAGGCGAGGCGAAAAAAGCTGGCTTGTAGGGGCTGTCCTGTGGCCTATGGGCAAAGTGCACAATCCCAATCACAGAGGCAAGTTCCTTTCGTCCCTGCCAAAATGTTGCGTTTGATGACCATCTCATCTGATGGTGAATTACCATGGATAGAGGATGACGTTTGGCCTAACAGTACATAATCCTGTCTCAATTAAATTTCAAAACACCTGTTTTATATAAAAAAAAGAGAAAAACTTGACATGCTACAATGTTTGTTTGCTAAACAAACATTATTACTTGTATTCGACTAAACATATAGGATGTTATTTATTTGAAACTATTTGCATCTGTCTTGAGAGTGGAAGCATACAAAGTGCATAAACATAGCCTAAGCAATTTTTGTGGGGGCTCTAAATATTACATAAAACATTAGCAAAAGGATGTAACTGCAATTGGATTTTCTTCTAATGATTTTAAATGTTTTATGTGTATTTTTTCACTCTAATAGATTTTAACAGTCACGGCAATAGTAAATATTTATTTTACATTTTTAAGTTAATTATCTTAAGGAACAAAGAAGCAATTTTGGAGTTAAGGCAGTTATTCTGGTATGGTTGTGTATTGCATGAGTGTATTAATAAAATGAATGCAAATTAAAACATTATTTCAACTGTGTGAAAAAATTGTTTTGTTGGTTTTAATCCAGTTTTTATTGGTATCATTAATATAGACTATAGTTTTATTGAATTCAGCTGAATTTAATGAAATGGGGCCCAAACCGCCTGAGAAGAAGAAGAAGAAGAAGAAAAGAGAAACTCCATCACCTGGCTGCTAAGGTGAAGGGGAGGGTTGGCTTGTAAAGATGACAACGTCAAGCTGAAAGCAGTCCAAATCAGTGATGTGAACGTGTCTAAATGTAAATACGTGCATGTGAAATTGATAGTTTGAAATAAAGCTAAAATCACTGTTAGCAGGTTGCATTGTTAGCATAGCTTTTCATTTGTTAGCCAACATGTTGTGTCAAAGGTACGGAAATGTGTATGCTAGTTAATGCTTACACTACTAACTTTCTTGGCCAGTTAGAGTTACAGTTTGGGAATTAGCAAGCTTACGCTCACTGTTACTGAGGACATATAAGTGAGGCCCTGAAGGTGATGTCCTGCTAGCATACTGAATGTAACAGGCTAATGGTGTGTGCTGGTGGCTAGTTACACATAGGCCTATTATGATTATTATCTTTCAGTCTATGATTATTATAGAAGATATTATTATATTTCATTGCATTCATTTCTTAAATATGATAACATTTTATGGATATAACTTAGGGAATTAAAAAGAACAGTGTGGTGTAGAGGAGCCATTGTTTTGCTTAAACTTGTTACAGTTTTATAGCCCACAGAGTTTACAAGGCTTTGCAGTTATATTTATGTTGATGACTTTTATATTTAAAAATCCAACTCCAAGTATTTGGATTTGCCATTTGAAAATGTAGACGTTGAACTAACTAAACTACTTGTTGCAGAATTTTTTTGGTCATTGACGACGTTGTAGAAGCTAAAGAAACAAACTGTGGGATTAACCTGGATTCAAGGGAAATTATAGACATATAGATGAGTGTAAATGGTCTGTATTTTTATAGTGCCTTTCTAGTCTTCTTACCACTCAAAGTGCTGTTATATTATGTCGCATTTACCCATTCACACACATTCATACATTGAGCCTCTGTGCTCAAACAGAAACTAACATTCACACAAATTCATACACCGATGGAACAGCCGTCGGGGCAAGTTCAGTTACTTGCCCAAGGACTTCGAGATGGAGCCTGGAGGAGCCGGGGATTGACTGATTTTCTGATTAGTGGGCAACCCGCTCTATCACCGGAGCCATAGCCGCTCCCAACAAATGTGCCACATGAAAGGTGTGGGTACATCAGTAGTCACTCATTATGTTTATGATTAAGTTTTCATTAGTTTTTTATTACTTCGAAGTGTAGTGGGATTCTTCTCTAGGTTGCAACATAACAGATGTCACCAAAGTTTAGTAAAGTTTACTACATGAAAACATTATTTTAACATGTAAACAATTAACTAGGGGCATTATAGATAACACATTCATGCCATTTGCTTCAGATGGTCAGAGGATGGAAAAGTGGTCCCACTTAACTAAGAGTAACTGATTTCATTAAAAAAAACAACAATGAATTAGAATTTGTTGTTTGTGGACCTGGTGAATTGTTTCTGCCTTTCAATATGGTGTGTGACACTACATAGTGAGGTCACTGCAGTACCTCATGGATGTGTTGAATAGCTTTAGATTTAACTGACTAAGGAGACTGACATATGTGTTAATTAAACAGGACCAAGAAGCTGTCCTCGGACCCTGGGAACAGTGGGAAGTATGGACGTATGGATGCCTGTCCCTGTGGTTAACCTTCCACCCACATGTGAGTACCAAAATGTTTCATGTTAAATGTTATTTGGTAGTTTGCTTTAGCAAGTCATGCGCCCAATTGTTTCACATTCTCTCAAGCAATGGCTTTGGCTTTCAGTAGGCCTTTTTTGCGTATAAGACATTTTGGCACAAATGTAATTGATCAAATGCATTATGGCTTGAGTTCAGTTTAGCTGCCTGGTTTTCAGATTCCTGATGTTGTGCATGTTGGCTCACCGGTCCCATGTAGTCATTAAGGATGAGACGGTATGAAAAATTCATATAACAATTACAGTGACCAAAATGATCACGGTTATCATTATTATCACGGTATAAGAAGAAAAAGATTAAAATGTACTGATATACTCACTGAAACCATTTCAACAAGTTTTATATTGAAAACTACAAATACAAGCGTAGCGTTTTTACCAGCGTTTGTTGTCATTGACCCAAATAAACCGACGTTGCATTCTGCGCATGTGCGCCTGCTTCTGGGAGACGCGGGACAGTGTTTGCCGTGAGATTATAACAGCACGGTTAACCGTACCCAGATATCATGGTAATTAAAACGTGTATAGTAATAATAACCGTCAGGAATTTTAGCATGGTTTACCGTTGAACCGATCATCGTTTCATCCCTAGATGTCATGGTGTACTACAACACTTTAACGGAACAGAGCCAGCATTAATGTTATTAGTAACACCTGTGCTTTTTAATGTGAATATAAAGTCAAAATGTCTGGGTTAAAAGACATGGTGTGTTTTTTTAAGGCATAAGTTTAGCATTATGTGGGGATGATACAGATAACCTAAAACCTAACCTAAAATATCCCTACCAACATTTTTCTTGTCGGCTGAAACAGATTTTCATTTTGGTTCAATCATATCCACAGCATTGTGCCAACAGGGGCTGTGTGTTTGATAATCAAACATTTTGGGATATCACTTTAAAGCAGCTGTAATGAAAAATGTTATATTAATAATGAATCATCACTACTAGTGTGTGACAGGATGTTTTGCACTGTGAAGGTTTGGTTCACACTCACTGCTCTCATCAGCATAATTTTCAGTCACATATAATAATAATAATCATAACAACAATAACATAGTATGTCAGAGTTATAATTATAGCTTGTTACCTCTGCCCACTAGTGGCCAAATCAGTTGTTGGAGGTTTAAATAGTAAAAACTAGATTGGGCTCTATCCTACATATAGTGTTGTGGTGTGTGAATACTCACGAGCGCCCAGCCAAATCCTGCTCTGGTATATAAACCGAATCTTGTGTATTTATTTCAAATATATCTTAACAGTCTTAACTATCATCAAAGACAGAAAGGGTAACTTGAAGCAGCGGGGAAAATCTCAGTGAGGAACACACACAAGGTTTTCCCTGATAGGTATCAAGAATAGTTTAAGAGTGAGAAAGAACAAAAGATTCTAACGATATTTGCTCCACCATACCTTTGCTAACATGGCCTGAGTATGGGGAAAGGTCAGAGAGGTGGCATTACACTTTTATGACGATCATTTATTTATTTTGTCAAGTAAATCCAATCAGAATGCCTGCAAGCTACCCAGATAGCAAACAGGGATAATTAGCATCACTGGGAGAGGTGGCGTCTCCTTGTACTCTGGCCTCAACTTGCTTTTATCTGTAGAAGAGGTGAGGTAGAGGAGAAGCTAAATATTGATGGAGCTGCCCATACTCGGTGAAACTCAAACACACTGTCCAGCTTTGTTAAGGGCTGTGTTTCAATGCTGGAATCTCTTCTCACATACACTAAGGATGACAAACTTCAATCATTTTTACTTATTTTTCTCTCTCTTTTGCCAGTAATTGCTTAACGTGTAATTATATTGTCACCCTCAAATATATTTTTACAGAACAAAATATGATTGTTTATCTTGGGTCTATCTATACATGTAGTGCACACGTAGTTTGGTTCCCTTGGTCCAGTTGAAAGAAAAGTTGAACTTCTGATTTAGGGTTGTTCTGATGCACAATTGGATCACTTAACGACGACTGAAGTGATGATCAGCGATTGGTTTTTCATGTGCCAATATTAAGGCAGTTTTAACTAACTCACTATCAGAACTAAGATGTCATAAAAACAGTCTCTACAATCTGCACCATACTGCAGTGTTTCCCAGCCATTGATTTATTTGTGACGACACGGCACGCCACAATATCAACCCTCCCCCCAACAAACACAGCGAAACGGAGCCAGGTGTTTATAGAAAAACTAAAGCATTCAAGTTAACTCTGAGAAGTTAGTCTATCTATTTTCTTAACACTGTCAATGTTGGAGACGGATATGTTAACGTTAGAATACAGCTGGGTTACGCTGTACATAGCTGCTATGGATTTCACCCTCCTTCTCCCCGCAGCACGTGCGCAGCGCCACAGTTAGACGGTAATTCTGTGGGAAACACTGTACTGTGCATTTACAGATTTCTCTGGTGGTTTCTGTTAAAGCTAGTGAGCCTGTTTCTTCCATGCTGGGATTTCACTGACGTGCTTAACACTTAACACCGCCCCCTGGCGATCAGATCGCCAATCGGTGATCTCAAGTAGCCATGATCCAAAATAGAGAAGATCGCCCAACCAAGAGTTGTAAACATAACTTCACATGAACTGACTAGACAAACTGTTCAGTGAATTAATTGGATAGTCTGGATTTCAGTCAGACACACAGAGGAAAATCTAAATGAAGTTGATCATACTGCACACCTCTGCACCTTTGAGTATTAGTGGAGACTGCAACTTGACCTCCTCTTTTTAGAAATAATGATGGTGTGTTATGCCATAATAGGGGGTAATTTATGGCTGTCTAAACTTGGTTGCTACATGAGATTGCATTGAAGATTTATGCCATTTAAGGTGTTTGTTTTCTGAAATGACTGAAATGAAATATTGGTGCTATATCACCTAAAAGTCTGATTGAACCATCTACTAAGTCCTTTTCTGCTCCACTGTAGGCATTTTTATGTTGGCTAATTAGTTTTCAAGCTCTGACTTTTTATCCTTATTTAAATTGAGAATATCACGCTGTGCCTGCTGAGGTTTACACCAGGGACTGTTGCAGACATCTCTTGTGTGTTAAAATTCACCACCTCTGGAATGTCCCTTCTGTGATTCCCCAAAAGAGTTTGTGTGCATACTAATTAAATTGTGTTTTTACAGGATGTACTGAAAAATGACTCGGGATGTAGAATTATCTGTCCAAATAATCCAGCCCCAAGACACATGTTGCAATACTGTATGTAAACTTGGAAGTTGTCAAAGTACACGGTTTCCAGGGCACGTTTTGTTAGGCAAATCAGATTTGTTTCTCAAATCAGATCATTAAGACAGACTGTTGCAAGTGATCACATCGGATTTGTGTGTCCAGTGGCAGTCTGAACAAGCCCTTAGTTTGCAATGGAATAATAAATATTTAGTTAATCATTATCGCTAAGAACTTTGGCTAACACTAGCGCATTTACAGTGACGTCAATTAATGTCCATAGTCCCTATATATAAAATAAGCAATTCAGACAAATAAAGCATTAAACATACATATTACCCTGTAAAATCCCTTCTGCCCATTTTTTAAGTAAGTAAGTTGATCTTACTGTATAATTTTTATTAAGTTTAAACATTATTGTTATGGGGTGGCTCTGCCTAATAATGCTCTCCAGTGCAACTGCAGAGCAGCCACTCCACACCAAACTCATTTGATGCTGATGACATATCAAGTTTCATGTTATATCTAGTTTAAGGGCCCTAACATGATCACGATCTGTCATGTGAAATAATCAGATTTCATGGAAACCTGAATGTCCTGATTGTAGTTCAGTAATAAGAACCTTACACACTGTGGTCTACTGCGCCGGGCAAAGCAACGGCACAGTCTGTTCAGATTCAGGAGTGGTTTAGCCGAACTGGCTAGCATTCAGAATTGGGCTGAGAGCACTCAAGTGTTCAACGGGGTGTGAAGAAACAAAGCATGTGTTGTGCTGCACTTGATTGATTTCCATTACAGTTGTGTTTGCAGTAAGGTTTTGGACTAGTTTTACAAATCGTTGTAACCTTTCACACTATCATCTGGTGTTACTTTGTGTACGATGACGTAGAGAAAGTCTGATGTTTCGACTAATAACAAAGGTTTGAATCAAGAGGGAGTTTGTGTGTAAATGATGTTTGGATAATGTGCAAGTACATCATTATATGTTACTGAAATGCATCTTGGCATTACAGCTACATCGCGCAGAGGCCTGATGTGCTTTATAAACATTGCCCTTTGTTAGTGTATGTCCTGCCTTACTGAGCTGCGGTATTCTCATGGATGCTTATCATAATTGCAAATGCTTATGCATTTCTAAAGGCATGCAGTGAAGTAATATTGATTAGAGATTGTCTCCTGAGTACTAGAGGTCAATTTGAATTGCTGAAGTCTGTTTACCTCTAGTTGGATTAATACTGCTTGTGAGTGGAACAGCAGATCTAAGTGGACAAACTGGGGGACTGTTTCATTGTCCCAACAATGGTTGATGGTTGTCCAAATTAGAATAACTGGTAAGTGAAAATCAGTCCTTCATTTGGGCTACTAGGGAATGGTATTGTCCTGCTTTTGTGCTTTAGTTTTCTCAAGACATTCTGTGTATACCTTGGGGTGTGCTGAATAATTAATGGCACCCAAATAACAACTGTAGTCCCAGATATAAGGACGACCTTAAAAACATTGATTTTTTTTTTGATGTTTCATATCATTTTGAAATATAAATTTATTTACATTTGACCCTGGCAGACTGATCTTGAGCCAGCTTTTTAGTTTAAAAACATCCAGACTGTTGACAGTCTCTATCTTTAGCTTCTGTTATTTATAGCTCCATGAATCAATTTTTCTTTTAGGTCTACAGTATGAAACCTTTTAACCTTATTGTAGCTCATTATATATATATTTTTTTCTGTCTGCACATTAACTCTCTGGTTTAGTCAGTTCTCAGTAACCTCATTTTCACTAGTTTGGTAGCAAACAAGCTTTTCCCTACCTGCTCACTACCAAGCATCAGATGAAGTTAGTTTTTTATCACTTTGGTTAGTAGCAAATTATCAGGGCCCTCTAAGCCCTCGTATTGTAAAAAAGTTTTACTTCTTATTTTATCTTTATATAGATTCTCAAAGATCATTTACCATAAAATCAAAAGTTTGTTAGACTAAAATTTCCTCCCCAACACCACTACAATTTGTAAAAATCAAACACAGAAAATTAAAACAAATACTGCTCTGCCTATTATGATCTTACCTACGTTAGTTACTACGTAACTATATAAGTATAATACGTAACACGTAATACGTAATATAAAATATGTTGCAAATCGCACCTTATAGCCTCATAAACCGATAACATGGACCAAAAGAGGATCCATATGACGATATGTAAGTACAGCGCGGTTGGCTCAGCCTGAGAGAGAGAGAGAGTGAGGGGAGAGGGAAAGAGGTGTGTGAGTAGCCATTTCCTGTGAGCTAACTAATAATAACGTTTTTAATTTTAAATTAAATTTACAAAGGCGAGTTTTCAATTCAGGCTTTTTAGTTTGTGAAAAATTCCACAAAAAAAAAAAAATTGTTGTAGTTCTTACACTACTACACAACCATTACGTTTTTTTCTGTTGCGCACCCCATAGAGGCAGCTCATGCAGGACTTCAATGGGATTAAAATATTACTCTATGTCTGCTGGATGATTAAAGACACAAACAATTGTTTGCTTTTAAATCAACCATAATGATTTTTTTTAGATAGAAAAAAAATCTGCTTTATTGAAAGTCATAGTAGAGAGAGACAGGGAAGGTTGCTGGGTATCAGTATTTAGAAATGGTATGATTTTCAATTCTGTCAAAAATGAGCACCGGTTACAATTTTCTAGGCGATCTGACCTGCCTCCGTGTTCATAACAAAACACTGACTATTAAATAACTTAACCATTTACTTCCAAACTGCACAAGGTTACAGGACCTTCTCTCTCAATATAAAAAGTGCTCCAGGTTTGGCTACTGGAGAGAGCATTTTTGCACAAATAAAATAAATTTCAGTGTAACGCGGCTCAGTGCTGTATATTTTATCCAATTCCGTTTTCACAGAAGCAGGTGAGCCACATGGTGCAGCCTTCTTGTTAGTGACATCGCCTATCGAAACCAAATGACATGTGATTGTTTTACCCAGTCCGTGCTTTAAAATATCCTTTGTGTCTGCTTCTTCTAACCTAATACCAGATAATGTCTCTCTCTATGTCTTTATCTGCAAAATGCTAAAATGATTCAAATATAGGCTACTGTGGTAACTGTTAATATACCTGGGTGGTCCGCACAAGTAAAGTCTATGTGTGGGGAAACACAACTTATTTTGGCTTTACAGGTATTAGAAATTAGAAATGAGCCACCGTTGAACGTTTACATTTTTCAAAGTAATAAAAAAAAGGTATAATGAAAGCTGTCTTACTAAACTAATGCAAATTTCTTTTAATTATAGATCCTTAAAAATACTACAATATAAATATGTTTTAAAAGAAGCAAGCAGTCACAGTGAGAAAAAATACTTTTTTTAAGGCATCGGTCATGTGCTATAAATGAGCTACACTCTATAATCTATACTCTCCTTGTAAAATAGAAAATTATGTCAAAGGAAAAAACCCTTTAATAAAATGTTATCTTTTCCCAATAATTAGTAGGGTTTTGCATTTGTACTACAGTGCAGATGCTGCCGAGTTCTTTGGCTTTTTCCTGTGCTGCCACCAAAAACACAGATGTGCACAACAATGGCTCAAAAAGGGAATGCAGAATCTTCATCATTAGCTGGCTTGAGCACTGTTTTGTAATATCAGTCAAACCAAACACTTACCCGATGTTGTACATGTTTGGTTTAAAGCTTAGAAATGTAAATTATTAAGAGATTAAAGGCGGAATCGGAATCACTTTTAATGGCCAGGTACGTGTACACATACGTGGAATTTGACTCTGGTCTTACAAAGCTCACAGTGTACATAAACATAGCAGAAACAAACAGGACAACAAGCTAAACAAGAACACACAAACTACAGTGCACAGTACACATACAACAAAACAACACCATTTGTAGACAGCGAGACATTAGTGTAATGAGGCAGAGGGCAAAGAATGCTGGAATAAATAAATCTGAGAGTATCTGAAGTCAATCGCAAAACAAGCCAGAAGTGATTATAACTGTAGTTTCTGTGACAGGTTAGGAGGAGGCTACAGGGAGAGGTCTGTTGCTTTGCCTGGCTCTAAGTGGAGGTGACAGCATTCAAACATGGTGACCTTGCGTAGGGGACCCGTGACGGGCCTCCCTGTGACTGAAGGAACATTTCTGGAGGCACCCTGCAAGGCTTTTTGGTTTGGGAGAGACATCAAGGGAACCTGCATGGTGGCAATAAGAGAGGTGTTTTTATTTTTATTTTTTTCACGATGCCAACAGCATCACTTCAACAAACTCCCTTTGATAGACATAGGTGAAAACTGGCTTGTAAAGGAAGTGAATATTGATATGATGAAAAATATTTCATCCTGAAAGTGTACAGTGTATTGATTTTGGAAAGTTGTACTGCATAAAAGTAACATAAGGTGTATTAAAAGAAATATGAAAGCGTGCAGATGAGGAGGTACACTCAGTTGAGTGCTTTTATTCATCCTTGGATCAGTGATTATTCTTAACATTATACTCAGTCGATACTTCAAAAATGACTTCAAATTTATAAAATGCTAAATATATACAAGTTGGGAAAAGCATGTAGAGGACTGTCAAGGTTTTTAAATGTTTATTTAGCAAAAGTAATAGATGAGAGATGTCAGTTTCACAGTTTATAAGCCCCCTATGTCCCTAGAGGGCTGCTGTAGCCTCTGGCCATTCTCCCCTTACCTAAGGCATCACCTGGAAAAAAAAACTGATGCTTCTAGTCATTCTGCATCCCTGCATCTGTCTGAAAATAATTGGTCAGGAACCTTCTCTCCAAAAAGGGGCCATGAAAGAGTAATAGCTTGCAGCAAAAACACACATGTCTGACAGATCCCATTTGAAACTGAAAATGTATAGACCTACACTCTGTGCACTACAAACCTCATACCTAGTTAAAACAAAGTTTACTTCAACACAAGTGAGGAGAAAAATGCTGGGTCAGTATAGTTAAACATACTAAGCGTTGCAACGTGGCTTCTTAATAGACAATGTAGGGCAACAGATGGTCTCGAAGAGTCTGCAATATGCATTTTACTACAGATGTTTTGAGTAAATCTCTCTTATTTAGATTTTCAAAAATCAGACACACACACTAAATAAGTAGCCCTTCATTCCAAAGTAAAAGGAGAAGTACCTTTATATGAATGTTAAAATGAAACAGCCTTAAGTTACAGTGTTTAATGATGGAATATGTTGAATTATTTAAAGTAATATAGCCTTCGCTTTTTGTATGTTGTTTCTGGCTGTTGTATCAGTTGACTCTTCGCTAAGCCATGCCCTGAACACGCAGCTGGCCAATCACAGTGCAGTATACTTTCATGGCTGCGCTCCATTAACTCTTGTAGAGAGGTTGTAAAGAGAAGTACGATTTATTCCCTTTCCAAAAATTAAAACAAATCCAGAAAAATGGAGGCTGTGGATTGCTCCTCATGTAATGTTAGTTAGCTAACGCTAGCTAAATTACTGCTGAATGTAACGTAATAAAGCACTACTCTTCTGCTTTTTAATGACAGTTTGTTGGACTTAGCAACAGTAACTAAGGGGGGCGTGGCTTAGCAAAGGGTAAATTGAGCTGCTGTAGCACTGTTCTTCATTTTTGCTGTGTGACTTGACCTTTGATACCTCATGACCTTATCATGCAGTGAATGTTTAAAACCTTACTCCTGGGGTGGTGATGGTGCAGTGGATAAGCATAATGCCTATGGTGTGGGAAACCGGGGTTCAGTTCCCACTGCAACATCCACCAATGTGTCCCTCAGCAAGACATTTAAGCCCTAGTTGCTCCAGAGGTGTGCGGCCTCTGACAGACTTCAATTTCCATTTCAATTATTGGTTTAGAAAAGCCTCACTAAATGGAACTACTCAGATAATGGTACTTTATTACAGTATTATAGAAACTGTGCTATATTGCTTCATGTTTCTGCCTATAACATATATAGAGGGTTATTTTTATGGGGGTGGGGCTGGTTAAAACCATGGCACAAATTGTTTCTTTTCTGACATGGCAATTTCTCTTTCTTTACACCGCTGTATTATCCATCATTCCTGTGAACAACAACAATAGATATTGGATATTCAGTCACATCCTCATATGCATGAGAACATATGCACAAAAGGAAGATTGTTTTCTTCCACATTTCAGATGAAAATATATAAAAAATAGATATTTATTTACTTATAATCCAGTGTTGGAGGGAACATGAAATGCATTCAGTGGATTGGGCCTGACTCTTCACTGTGTAGCCAACCTCTAATATTGTGGCATATCTACATTTGCCATTCTTTTTGGCCATGTCTAATCCGGCAGAAGAAAGGCTCCTGTGCTCAAGCACTGGAGGGAAAACAATACCATTGGGCTTTGCTCTACCTGTAAGCTCACAGATGAGATAGAAACAGAGAAAAATTAAGGGAGAAAAATCATTATTCTCTGAATGAGATGTCTTGGGTTTGATCAGAGTGTGAATCAAAGCCCATCTCTTAGACTACTTAAACATTCACTTTTAAAATTCCAACCTGATTGTACTTTTATGGAAATGTCTTGCCATCAGTGGCTGCATTCTCTCCTGTCTCCAGGTCCTCTTGTATCCCTGTAGATATCTGACTTTGCCCTTCATTAGAATTCTCTTGGTAAGAAAGCAGGAGAAATGAGCAGAAGATGTAAATTCAGTCGAAAAGAAAAGGTTTAGATCTTTTCCTTTTTTGTCCAGGGAATAGACAAAAAAGAAGAATCATGGATATTCCACATCATCGAGTCAAACCTGACACCAGGGCAGAAGACTTAAGAATTTCATTAAGAATATGTTACAATGCATCACAATCACAGTCATTACCATGATAGTTATACTGTACCTATAGGCCTATATAGTATTGTCTTGATTACTTGATGCTTTTGTTAAACAATACAGGAATAGAGAATATAGAAATTTGAAATTTGTAATTTGTGGTTGCTAAGATGCTAAGAGGCTCCTTAAATAGTGTTCAATGGAAGCATAGGAATTAGTATTGTAACAAGTATTCATTTATGCTAAAAAGTGTACACATATCAGCAAGAAACCATGTCTTATGCTTCCAGCTTGAATGTAAAGGGGTCCCAGCATCACTTCATTTGTTGCTTTTAGTATAATTTAAAAAAAGAACATCTTTAATAAAAACATCTGAAGTGCATATATGAAGATACTAAATTCATTTTTAATTATAATTATTAGAATATTGTATGTTACAATAATGGGAATATTAGGTAGTAGATGTAACACGGGTGCAGATTTTTTTATAAACTTGAACTATTATTTAAAGAATTTACATTAGTATGCTGGTGACTTGCTTCTGGAGACAATTGAAGAGGCGGTATTATGCTCATTTTCAGGTTCAAAATCTTATCTAGGGGTTTTACCAGAACAGGTTTACATGGTTTCATTTTCAAAAAACCCCATATATTTCTGTCATACTGCACATTGCTGCAGCTCCTCTTTTCACCCTGTGTTGAAGGCTTCGTTTTAGCTATGGAGTGATGCATCTTGCCTCTACGTGTCTTTGTTGGGAGTTGCACATGTGCAGTTCCTAGTTAAGGACTACTAGCCAATCGGAAGCAGAGAAAGGCGGGTCAGCGAGAAGCCATTAAACACAGCTTCGGTTCAGCTATATATGTAGCAACATGGACTGGAACAAGAGTTTCAGAGTGGTGAGTTATTAATATGGAACACATGCATCTTTCATCCATAAAGATATAACTGTGCACTGTCACAGTAACAACTTTATGTCCATTGACTGCCTGGAGGGTAGTTAGTGTTTGTAACGGAGAGGAGAGGTGTGTGCCTAGCCGTTTGGCGAGCGTTATATGAGGCGCATTTTGTCACAAAAAAGATATAAAAAAGATATAAACTCAATAAAGGAGAGGGAAAAAGCCAAAAAGCATAATACCACCTCTTTAACACTTAATAAGGCAGGCACCAATTTACAGATGGGACTAAGTCAATACAGGTTCAAGGGGGACTTAAGTCAAATACTCAGAGAGAACATTTGGCAGGGCCTTGTCACCACTCTGCTGTGAGTATGTCGGCTCCCTCTCTTCCCAAGTGCCACAACCAAAATCCTTTCCTTGTCAAACAAGCAGGATATTTGAAAAGCATCTTGCAGAGTCTGTCACACAAAACTGTGAAGTTTCATCTGCTGCTCTTTTTCATTATTTTTTAAGTAACTCAAGGTCTTAGTAAGTAGGAACCAAAGAAATTCAGGCTTTTTCAGCCACAGTGCATTGTGCACTCATGAGTGTTTAGACAGTGCTCACAGCCCAATGCACAATCAATGTAGTTGCGGGGGTTTATTTGGGAAAATAGATTTGAAATCCAAGCAACACTTTGGCTCACTGTTACCCCTGTGCAAGTGCAAGTGTAGACGACTGCACTGAGTATCTATTCCACCAGACAGACATAAGACCGACAACTGAAAGTCAAAGCTTAAACCTGTCTGGTGTATACATCTTGTTAACTTTCCGTGCATGTAAGTGGTGACATTGACATGTTTATATCAGCAGGACGAAACTGTGGCTGCTATTACTTTCCATAAGATAGTGTTGGTTGACATGTGGCGACATCTGCAACTCGCCATATGTAAGTAAGTTGCAGCTCCCTGGGGGGTTTTGTTTCCAAAAAATACTGTGTTTTTACTGACATATTTTGACACGCTATACTGAGTGTGTAAGAACTGTTCTTATGGATCCTGCAATAGACAGTAAAGAACTGTATGCAGTTGTGGCTGCAGTACAACTGTCATATACTTGTGAAACATTTTTGCAATGTCAGTTAATATACTTGTCTACATTGATGTTGCTGGGGTTTCATATTGATGTGATGCCAGAACAGGAGGGCAGCAGTAAGGCACAAGTTTGACCCCATTTACCTGTCAAGTTAAAATTTTTGGCTCTAACAACCTCCAAATAGGACAACGTTGGCCTTTTATGACCTGATTTTGGATGTTGTCAGGTCCACACTGACTGCATTTGAGGCAGTGATAGTTAGCAGATATGGGTAATAATAATTTTAGATTTTTAAGCAGAAGATTTGTCAATTTATTAAATATGATTGACAAAATGCCAAGATATTAATCTCCACTGATATTCTTGATTATACATCTGTTCAGTCTGTTAATATAAAGCTAGTGTTTCCCATTAATTAACGAGACCATCTCGGCCACTACAGTCTAATTTGTTCCGCCATGGTTTCAAAACGAACTGAAAATATTTTTAGAGTCTATGAAATCTTCATGTTAGGCGATATGAGAACCACATACAACATTATTTATCAAATTGGGTCAGACTTGATGAATTTAGTGTCGGGCTTGGCGATATGTCCAAAAATGTTATCATGATAAAAACATTTCATATCATTCAATATCAAATTTTTGCCCCTGAAAATTGAAG